CTTCCACTGTGCCCTAAACGCCGAGATTGTGGGAGCGAGAGGGTCCCTTCTACCACCCTTGAGGGGCGCTGAGTATTCCTAAAGGAACAATTCAGTAGCCTTTTTATCGTGAACGGTGCCCTTAAGGTGTTATAAAGGCTCGAAGATTGTCTCGTGTGTATCCTCGGACGAGTATCACCGGCATTGTAGAGGCTGCACAGATCACAAAGGAAGCGGTGTAGGAAGTTCAAACAACTTGCCATGAACCATAGCGACAGTGGAAGGCAATTCCCTACATTTCTGGCTTGATGTAGTCGGCTCTTTGCGCAATTGCAACAACCAAAATCTCGTACGAATACCATTTCCATGGAGGGCGCGCGATTCACGCGTGACCCCATTAGAACTCTTCGCGCACGCAGCATCGTTTCAGTACATTTCTGTTGAGATGGACCAAATAGATTTGCAGTAGTCCACGGCTTTACCATGAATTAGAGCAATTCTCTTTACTATGGCAATGAAGCCCCTTCGAGATTAAGAACTCAACTCGTAGGTCAACAATTCACTTGTCAACGTTCAAAATAAGATTAACTTCAAATTTTTTCATTCTAGAAAACGCAATCCTTCTGTAAACGTACATAGTTGGTCATTTCTTACTTATTCTACTTATAAGTTCTTATTTCCTCCATTATGATGGTAGGCATGATGTTTTTGCACGTGATGACCTCATTATATTGACGCGTGAATCGCACCACACCCCCATTTCCATGTCATTTCCGTCATGGTAATCTCGTCCAACCTCTATTATCCCTACTTTTCAGGGGCCTTATTTTTCTCAAAATTGGCGAGTTTCTTGCTTTCTTCACTACCATCAAACTATTCCCAACCTATACTTCCGCTTTTCGACGAAAGAGGGGTACCTCAAAATTATCGTGAACTGTGTCTTCAATAAGGCCGTCATAATACGACAACTTTTGAGTGTGCACGCCGGCTCAGTCGGTTTTGAAACTTTTACAACGCCCTGTCGAAATGGTTCATTGACGTGCTATCCTTGGGGGCCACAGATTCATCCTAAGGGACAAACTCAGAAACCGTCTCTATCGTGAACATTGCCTTTAATGAGGGCCATGCAAGTGCCGGCGTAGGTGTATGCGGATAGTAAGGCTCATTCAGGACAGCGGAGGTGCTACATAGTCAATCAGTAGAGGAAAGATTTGGAAGGAAAAGGATTGCTCAAAAGTGCGGAACTCCCCAGTGATTCCGTGCTCGTTTTAGGTTCAAGGGGTTTTGAGACTTGCACTCACAATTTCAGCACGTCTTCGCTCCACTGTTTAGTAATAGAAATAGTAGTCGCTTGCGATGGGTATTTAGATGTATTTGTGGTGATGGGCATGTAGCAATGTGCTGGATACCTAGCCTGCTAAGACTCCTTATGCTCAGCCTCGATGCGCAAGTCTGACGCAACCTACAGTTACGGACCGATCTCTCTTGCTCAGAGGGAACGAAGATGAACAGAATGGAGAATGGATCTGTTAGGGTAGGAACGGTCTTTTTAGCTGGCATTTTTAGGATCGACTCATTGGAAGTAGCTTGAAAACTAGACGCGAGCAGAGGCACTTCAAGAAGCTCACCGCTGATTGGTATCGGTGCTGACTGTGCAATGATAACGTTCCCATTGGGATGTAGGGCCAATGTGACTGTAAACACCTGCATGATGGGGAAGCGATTTCCATTCAAACTCTTTGAGTTCCACATTCCCGTCATTCTCTTTATGGTCACCATCTAAGGTTCTTAAACAGCAGAAATTTCCACGACTTGAAATATATATTCACAGTCGTCGTTCTCGATAAGCTGAGTTCAACGAGGGTTAGGGCATGCGGAATCGTGCACGAGTCAGTGGATGTGCGCGGTGGCGGTGGCTTCAGTATCCCGGTCCCGGTCCAGGTTGTTTTTTCATTGGTATAGAGTATATCAGTGCTCAGTGTACCTCCATTGAATAACCTTTTTTTTCTTGCTTTTCCAATTGTAGCCTTTGGAGACATGCCTCAATTTGACCTGCTGGTAATTTTCTGCAGCTTTCTCTTGCATTTTCCCTCATATAATGTCATTTTCAATTAACTTTGAAGTAATTATGGATTACACCTACCAACTATAATGTTCAAGTTTTTACTTTGTAAACCACTATTCTCATGTTTTGTATATACTGAGCGCATTTTCGCTTTTTGAACATACCTCAACGATAGAAATACATCACATTAACGAATTAGCTCATTATGGGTTCAAATAGGTTTCACGAGAATCTGCCCCGAGTGATGCTGATATAACTGTAATTGTGCAGCCGCCCTCTTCCCGTTCTGACCAACCTGGCAGTTTCACACTTGACTTTCGGCATCTGCATTTTTCAGAAGAATGTCATGGAACTATACTATGCGATGCTACCTACAGTTCGAGACTATCTGAGAATCCAAAAACCGAAACCAATCGTGGTCAAAATTTGATCGTATGGAATGGCGCCTTGACTGCCAGTAACAATCATCAGCAAGTCTTCGAATTCCATTGATGAATTAATTTCGCAAGCTGAATAATGCTGGTGAATGTTTTCCATTTTGTCTGTCAAATGACTTTTCTCCAACGCTTGCATTTGTCACGTTCCTACCAGCCTGATACCTATGACAATCCATTTTTTTTTGCAACTCATAGAATGACTTTTTGCCTTAATCTCTCCTTCGGTATCTTGGTACAGCACGCCTCATTTCCGCGGGGTAACTCGTCCTCTCCTCCGAGCGACCTGAGCAAGACCATGGGGGACTACACTGGTGTGCAAAACTTAGGAACGAAAGCATTTTCGATTACTGTACCTCTGCCAGACGACAGAGCCCGATGAAATTTATACCGTACCAATAGGGGACTATCACGGTGTTGCTCAGTAAGCAACTGACAGAAAATCGAAATAAGACGAGCGGATAAGACATTTTTATTCAAAGCTACCGATCCTAGTACTTCAAATAAAGCGACGTGGTTCCTAATAGGGTGTGTGTTCACCACAGATAGCAATAAATACTCTGCAACGCGATCACATACTTACCATGAGGTTGGTGATGGGAGACGGGCGTTAGGAACGATTTTGGGTAATCGATTTGCCGCACGCGGCTGTCGCGGACCACTTATTCGCCGTTATTACAGCTCTAGCGTTCTTCATACAGCTCAATCGATATGCGATCACTATTTTATGCATAATTCTACTATTAGTACTTTTGTTCTTGTATTTCTTACCTACTGCTGCATCCTGCTACATTTCTTCGCGCGCGACGCCCCTCTCACCGCGACGCGACCATTTCGTTCCTAACGCACCACACCCTCGAGGTCCCCACTCCGATTTGATCGCAATTGCATAAGTGTAACATCCATTACGCTCAGAATTATACATCTCTCATCTCCTTGCATCTTGCTCTTTTGTG